GAATTCTTTGATTCTTTAAAAACTGAAGTGAAAAAGCGATATGAAGCGAAACTAGAAGCTGTGCAGCTAACAGAGTGTCCATACCACCTGCCTGCCGAAATTAGGATCGATGATCCTTCGAAATGGCCTATATTAGATATCCTGACATCTATGTCTATTTCACCAACACACCACGTAATGATAGTAATAATTTTATAACATAATTTGCTATAGTAATTCATGACGTTTAGCTGTATTTTTCTGTGGTATCAGTGCCATTTCCTAATATCATTTTTCTTCCCATTTACTAGGTGTTTATACAAAGGAGACAATGAAGTCACATAAAGGCCTACAAGCGCACAACACATTTTTCTCTCTCCTCAATGATTTGACCTCAAGAGATAGGCCCTCTTCATTTGTTTTATCTGCTGGTCCATATGATATTTCATACACAAAGGCAACGGGCATCTTATGGATAGTGCTTGACGACACTTCGGATAAAGTTTGGGTGAGGTGGATCCGGGGATGGTTTGCCTGTAAATTTAAATTATGATAAATCAATATATTACAAGAAATTTTAATACAAAATAATAATAATAAAACTGCGTTTGTGCTTTTTAGAGTATATGACTGCTGCCAAAACCTAATGTTGACAATGTTGACCTTGTTTGGCCTTAGCAGCTATTGTAGATAGAGTTTAAAAGTGATTATCTGTCTGGAATTTCAAAAGGTGTAAAATATTAATATGTTGATCAATAAAATGTTCTGAGCACAAGTAAACATATTCCACCAGGCACTCCTATCAGTGTTCATGCATTTCATGGCCTATACCCATCGCTTCCATTTTCAGGTTTCTTTTCACGATCTGGGAATGTATGAAAGGTTAAACCTTTCTTTCCCATCATGTTGTGGTTCAAACAACCAACAGCAACACTGTTTGCATTTTCATACAAAGAATCTAAATTCTCGAAAAAATTAATTGACTTGTAAGCAAAGCGGGTTTGTTTTCACCAAGTGCTCATTGCTAGGGGCGGTTGCTAGGCGTTGCTGAATCGGTCTATTCTTGTTCCCTTTGCCCATAGCGAAATTCTTTCTTGATGAAATGGTCACTTCACCCAGATCTAAAGGATTGAGTTTCAGTGCTATCTCATTAATATATTGTTAACAAAAGGAAGTACGTATGGTATGTGTGAGTTGTCTTAGTACTGTTGCTGGCAGTAGAATGATATTTTACAAACATGTTAAATGATCCCTTGTCATTCTTTATAAATATTGATACAATATTTCTTGAAAGTGGATGTTACTTGGATTTGCTTCTTGTTTTCACCTCACCATATTTTAATCTGTAGTGCCTTAAAAATCTCAGAAAAGGAAAAACTGGCAGCTCACCTTGAACCTTCATGCGTTGTAGTTGGTTTAGTGTTTTTTTTTTTTTTTTTTTCAGTCTTTCTTTTTCTTCTTTGTTTTTTTTTTTTTCTTTTTTCTCTTTTGTTTGTCTGTTTCTTTGTAATCTTTGACTCATGATACTTGTGTATACACAGTTGGACTTTTTTAACTTATGGACTTCTTCTTTTTCCCTTTTATCCCTTTTTTTTTACTTTCACTTTCTATCAAAATTTGCCATTTTCTACACCATATATATATATTTTTTTTTTCATCAAAATTCACTTTGTAAATTAGAGAACTCCAGAGTCTGTTGTGAGTTACAAGTTATCCCTTTCCTGAAATTAGGGAGATTATGGTATGCAGGTATTTGATAAGGAATATTCTAATATATATTACTTTATGTACTTGCAGTTCCAAAAGGGAATATAGGATATTAATCACAATTAATCATTTTCATCCATTCTTTTTTTCTTTTATTTTATTCTTTTATATTGTTTCACTGTATTAGAATATTCTTATTCTCATTCCAGTCCTTTGGTGGTATGTACGAGAACTTTTAACACGTCATGAATATGAACGATTTTTGCTTTTGAAGAATGTTAACACGGACCTCGGCAGGGGAAGGGCATGGATTCGAAGCTTATTGAATGAGCATTCCCTTGAGCGTTACATGCATGTAGGTCATTGTTGAATGTTGTATTTTGTTATATTTATAATTGCAATAGGAAAACCTTGGAAAGAGTAATATGTTAGTATATCATTGTCTCATATTTATATAGTTTGCAAACAAAATGAGATGTGAATAGTGGCCCTGTTCAAGTTTATTATTGGTTTGTTATTAGAAAATAGGTGTTCTTCTCTTATCTCTTATGTCACTGGCTCTTTAGATACTGGTTTGCGATGAGAAGCTTCTGCTGCAGTGGTATGAACCGTGGGCATTACTCCGTGACATGGAGAGGGCAGCAATGCTACCAAACTTAGCTGCAGGTGAGATTGTTTTCTCAATATTTTAAGTTATGCATTCCTATTTTTCTAGTTGAATGATATATATAGATTGATTGTCATTTTTTATAGATATGTATATGTTGCTTGATGATCATATAGGAATATGGGATCATATTCATTGTAAATGATT